GCGGCTCAGCCAGTGCAAAGATGGGGTCCTGCGCCCTGCGAGGACAGGGCAGGTGTGGGAAGGCTGCCAGGTGGCCTCGGGCTGGCCAGCCCCAGGCCGCAGCCGCCTGGCAGGGCCCCGGGCCGCTCACCGGTCATAGCGTGGGATCTCCAGCCCCAGCTCCGCCATCAGCAGCCGCATGACATCATCGCAGTGGCCGTGCAACTTCAGGGCAGCCAGGTCATCCTTCGGGGTCCACTGCAGGAGCGACACCAGACCCACTGCTGCAGGCGTCTTCCCGCACAGCAGTGGGGCCATGCCCATGGACAGGTGGGGCTCCCTGCCCAGGGCCTGGTGCACACTCGGGGCCCTGCACGCTCCTGGGCAGTCAGGCTCACCACATGCTAGTGTCCATTTTGCCCAAACCCTTCAAAAGGGGGTGCAAAATGCTCTCACCTGCAGGTTCACGATATATAGCTTTGGACGACGAGTGGGTGGCTTGCTCATGCACCAAAGACGTGGGTATTTTTTCAAAACCTGCCACAAAATAGAGATTATCAGTACAGCCACGGGCACGTGTAACTGTGAACCGTTATCAGCGAGAGGAAAAGGAATGTATTACCAGGAGGGGAAAGAGGGAGGAAGAGAGACTATCACAGATGGTGGGCGAATCCTGACACCAGAGTTTACAGTTGTCTGTTTGGGAGGAGACTGCTCAGCACCAAGGTGTATCACCAAGAGGGAATGCTGCTAACAATGTTCACCGAGTCTCTAAAGTTACCTTTAAGCTGGAACCCAGACAAAGAATCACATCTGCTTTGCTTGCAGCTTCTGTTGCTGCTTCCCAGTTCAGGGGCTGTCTCAACGTCCCCTTCTCCCCAAAGTGGACGATTGTATCTCTCAACTGTGCCCCACACTTGTGGCACATCCTGCCAGTGTGATGCCTGTGCAGGGCTGTGCGCTCTGTCACATCAAATACTCGCACGTACTCTCTGTTGGGTGTACAGGAAGTGCAGACCTAGGGAGGATGAAAGCAAAAAACACGTTACAACACTAGCATCCAGCCCATGAGAGGCCAGGACCCAGCCACTTCTCTCAGAAGAAATGCAGTTTTTGCGGACAATAAATTGAAAGCAGTAGAAGGGATCATCAGGGATCAGACGCTAAGTGGGAGAAGTTTGGAAAACCTCAGCTAGCAAGTGGAATTAGAGGGAGCCTGTTGGCTGTATGATAGGAGGGATTTCAAAGAAGGTCTGAGAAAGAGCAGTCAGAAGCAGAAGCCTCTAGCAAGTACAGAGAAAAAGCTACCGAGTTGTACAGGACACTTTGTTTTGGTGCTTGCTAACTATTTAATTCCGAACCTGATGGCCTGAAGCTAGGAACTAAGCAGAGGCTAGCCCTTGTATTATTTCTTCTTGAGGTGGTAAGATATAAATTATCTTCTTGGGAGGCCACTAGACAGTTACTTCACACTGTTCTGGCTACTAACCTCTATGTACATGTTTCCGTGAAGCTCAGATATTGCTGCTCGGGGTAACCCACTCCGCAGATGCAGCCCATCACAGTTTTGAGACACCACATGCTGCACCTTGAAGAGAATAAACCACGGAGCTAACATGCACACCAAAGACTCTAAAAGTATGACTCAAGCGCAGGTAACGTGTATGTCTCAAGACGCACCAGATAGCCCCGTACATCAGAGCAGAACTAACGGAAGAAAAGTGTGGAGAACAGACCTTTATGAAAGCTAAATGAAAAGACTCCTCCTGCTAAACACAGCTCTACTAAGTCTGGGTGACTCTGTGGCCAGGTCCCCAGACCAGCCTCACCAGGAGGCAAATACAAAGTATTAAAGAAAATGCACCGGGGAAAAACTGTCAGAACTACAGTCTGGAACTAGCTTAATGAACACTCAGCAGTATGTGAGCACAGGTGCTTTTTCCTATGTGCATGTGTTGCCTAACTACTGTTTTTGCTTAGGTGGCTATCTCATGGCTTTCCCCTGTTGGGTTTTATTTATCATATTTAGACAGAGGAACACGAGCAAGGTACGGAAAAAGTATCTTACCAGGTTGTGCTTGTGTAGGCAGGCAATGCTCATATGGGTAAGCGTGGGCTCCGCCTCACTCAGATCTGTAGCCCTGATAAGAAGCAAGTTAAAAAAAAAGTTCAATTGCCATTAATCTTTCTTTCAGTATCAGCTTTCTGCTACACAGCTCAGAATTTCTCCTTACCTGATGCTCCTGCCTTTCTGCAGCAATGTCCATATGCCATTAGGGCCTCTGTAGTCTGGGATTGAAGCTGCCTGTGGGGACACAAAAAATGAGGCCCGATGGGAAGGTTCCTACACCTTGTCCACAAACACATCAACCTGCTCTCACCCAGGACAACACACCTCATTCATGGGTGTGTTTTCATTCACTCCCAAGTTCTCTAGCACAGTGGTTCCCTAATTGCAGGAAAACCTTCTTTTCTTGTTTTTTGTGTCCCTCTAGCATCTCTTCTCCCACCTTACAGCTCTCATTTTCACCTCCAGTATTTATTTTTTCTAATTTTACCATTACAGAATCCCTCCAGAACTCTTTTTGACCCTTGGTACTTCCCATTTCTCTACACAGAACTCATTTCTTGAGCCTTTCCTTATTTTCGCTAGACTCTGATTTCTGGTAGCTTGCACTCAGCATTCTTTAGCAAAAATACTTGTGACATTAGCACTGGTACAACCCTGCCCAGAATCATGCTCCATACCAGCAGAGACTGTAGAAAAGGGAAAGAAGAATAAGGTTCCCATCTCAGCATTAAGACAAAGGTGACATATGACACCTTAGAAGAGACAGAACTAGATTTCCACTCTCCCAATAGAGGCCACTGAAACCAACCATTTCTTAAACTATCATTTATAAGTTCTGATAATCACCAGCTGCTCCTACTTGTCCATTAAAGCAGACAACATTAATTAGTTAACCTGTTTTCAGGTTTTACACCAAAAGTAGCTGAAAAGACTTGAATGAAGTAAGACTAGTGATCTTCTCATTTAAGCAGTGTGTTCTTCACATGGTCACAGAGGTCTATGCAGCCTCAGAATCTTTTGGGCAGCACGCAGAACCCCAGAATGCAAACTAGCAAATGTCTTGATCACAGTTTGCAGGGCAGTGCATCAGTGTTAGCATAGAACCCCAGACTTGTAACACACATCACATAATCACTTGGAAACCACAAAAAAAAGTTCAAACAACATTGCAACACTCCTGAAGGAGCTCCCAAAGCTCCAGCCACTCACCCCCAAAGAATCCTACCGTACTGATCCCAGCTCCTGTATAAATGACAAGGTGCTTGGCATTCCGGACAACAGCAGCCAGCTCAGTAGCCTTTCTGCTTAACTCCTCTGGTTCATCACATACCTAGAAAAAACAACCAAGCAAGTTCACATGTTCCTGAGATACAGTACATAACCGAATTGGAAGGAACAGAGAGCTCCCTGGAAGTCTTAATATGGGCCTAGCCTAGCCAGAAAAAGCAACACAAACGTTATCAGAAGTGGCTTCTAAATAAAAAAGTATGAGTATTGCCCATATTATCCATGGAAGATCAAGGGAAAAAGCTTCCTGGATAGCAGCACATGCAGATCCATCTTCCCAAGAGGCATGCCCACACAGCACACACGCAGAAAACCGCATGCATTTGGAAAACACACAAATCTGGCAGCCGCTGAAAATAAGACCGATGTGGAGACAAACCAAGGGCAGACACCGGAGGCCACCACCCTGGGGGCTTGACCGGTTCCCGGTAACACAGCACAGCAGTTCTTCATTGAGGCCTGCCGCAGCTCCAGAGTTCCCCTCGTAGCAGCCAACTTGGCGATCTCAGCCACCACTCCGGAGCGCAGAGCTCCTCTCCCCGGCCGCGGCCTGTTCCCCACA